GTACGTATGTATGTATTATTATTATTATTATGAATACCTTTTTCTCAATTTTGACATCGGAGCCCTCAGTTACATAACTTGAGTAAATCTAGTAGCCGCGCACAAATCTTTCGTTCCTTTTCTCTTCCTCTTTTCTTAATTCCTCCCCCAGCACTCTGTGTATGTTTGATTGTTTGTTTGTTCGGTTGTCTGTTTGTGTGCGTGTATATATGTATCATGTATGTATTCATGAATGTATGTATATATGTATGTATTATTATTATTATTATCAAAAAATTTATCTAGCGCTAGTTAATTAAAATTCAAAAGTGCCGTCAAAAAATAACAGACATACATACAAACACATACACACACACACACACATACATACTAACAAACAATTATTCTGGCAGATGATTATCCCACTATATTCATCGGAGCCATCACAGCAATCTGATTTGTAAAAAAAATATAACAATAACAATAACAATAATAATAAAAGAAAATAATAATAATAACAATAATAATAACTGACCACAGACGCCATCGTTGACCCTAGATGATGGAACTATGGAAGGTCGGTAGCCAGAATTTGGACAGTAAAAAATTCCATTCTGGCAGGCTGATGTACCTATTTTGAAAATTAAAAAGAGAAATTCTTTTTCAAATTAGTTGGATGTCAAGTGAAGAAGCGCATTCTTAATTGATTAATTAATTCATTGATTAATTGATTAGTAGATTGATTGATTGATTGATTGATCAAAATTTTAAAAAAAGTATTTCAAATTAGTATAGTCAATAGTGTATGATGAAACATTCTATGATTAAGTTACCTTTTGATTAATTATTAATTGATTAGTTGATTGATAAATTAATTGATTTGAGTTATTAAATGATTGAATATTTAATTGACCAATGATTAAAAACTAGTTATTTTAAATTAAAAAATTAACTACAACAAATTCAGTAATAAATCATTAAATCATTATTATCATCATATTTTTCAACTTGGCTATAACTATTTTAACTCTAATTAAGTCTAAAATTTAAAAAAATTAAAGTTTTTACCGGGTTCGTCAGACCCATCTGGGCAGTCGCAGTAGTCGTCGTTAACCTGATTGAACGGGATCTGTCCTGATTTATCTAGGCATGTAAAGTAACCAGACGACGGATTATAATATTCTTTGTCTGAATGGAGTAAAATATTTTTGTCAAAAAAATTATCATTCTTTGTTTTGTCTACTCTAAAAGTCTAAACTCTAAACTCTGACTGAATGAAAAATTGAGGTTTTATTTTTATTTGGAAAAAATACTAGCTGCTTTATTTTAGAGCATAATTAGTGGGAGTTAATAGTTAATATAACTTAATAAAAATATTGAATATTAGATTACAAATAGTTTAATTAAATAAAAATTAATTATTTAAAAAAGACAAACTTTCTGGATTCAAGCCCCTTAGTACATTTTCACTGCCTCGAATCTCCGGCATTATAAAACTTAAAAATAAATAAATACTAATAGAAAAATGCAAAAAATTGTCAAAAAATTTCATTTTCAGAGTAAAATGATTTTTCAAAAAAATACGAAAAATCAGAACTTTATCTCAATTTAATTTTATTATGCCACGCTCTAAATGATTTGATAACGTTAACTTAACACCACCTATATGTTTAAAAGTTACCTTTAAACACATTTTTCTATTATATTTAAATTAAATAAAATGTTTGAAATATTATTTAAATTTTTATCAGATTTTATAGTTAAAATTTATGGCAAAATCTGTAATAACTCGGATTTGTGAGCCAGAAAGTACCTTTCTGAATGAAATAGAATGTTTATTATGACATCGAACTAAACTCAAGTCTAGTAGTTAAGGCGATTTTGATCTCAAACTTTGCTTTTTATCCTAACAAATTACTCCGTGAAATTTTTTTAAATTAATGAGTTTATTTATTATACGCAAAATAAATTTTTTCATTTGTATTCCGAATAATTTTACTTTAAAAAGTTTGTCCGGAATAAACGCAGTTACAGCAGCAGCAGCAGCAGCCGAAAAATCATTTTCTTTCGGTTTCAACATGTCGTCCAACACGGCCAAACATGAAAATGTCCAGCAGACGAGAAGTAAGTAAGATAGAGATTCAATTTTTTTTCTGGTTTGGTTGTGTATTATTAATTAATTTAAAAATATATTATTTAATTTATGCTACCACAACAAACTTCTAGTCTAGCTATCTCTAGTTTTTAATACCTACTTGTATTTATTTATTTAAATTTTTAAAACTCATAAAAAGATGAATGATGATTTGCTAAAATACCGTTAATTTTGTTATATTTGCATAATCAAAATGGATTATGCCATTATCGTAATAATATCATTTATAATCAACAGTTGCTAAATCAGTTAGAGGTATAAAAATGTTAGTTAAGTTAGTTGTGGTTTGATTGTAGAATGTATGTATATTGTATATTTTTACAAAAAAAGATGTTGAATATTAAATATTATTGTATGTTATATATTATATATAATGTATTATATATATATATTTATATATATATCAATTCAAAAATCTTCTTGTTCGTATTAATTTTAAGTTTTAAAACTTGGCAGACAAAATTTCCTTCATTATATAATTTTCACAATCAGAAAAGTTTGTCTCAATGCCTCTGGAGGAGAAAAGGAAGCTGTACAGTTGTGGCAAAAATTTTGTGTCACTTGATGAGATTGATACCTGGCCAGAATATTACAGAAAACACATTTTACCTCCAAAAAGTACTTGAACCTCTACTTTTAGTATTCTTTAAAAAAATTTTTTTTTAATGTGATTACAATGTGATGATATATTTTTTTAGTAGAGAGTATTGATAATGATTGTCTTAATTTTAGGTAAAACTCGCCTGAAGAGAAGCGAGATAAATAATAAAGTATCCTTATGGCGCGGGGATATCACCAGTCTCGAGATCGATGCCATTGTGAATGCTGCGAATAGTCGTCTGGTTGGGGGTGGGGGTGGTTAGTTTTGATGATGATGGGATGAAGTAGAAGATAAAGATGATGATGATGGTGATTGATGATGATGGTGATTGATGATGATGATGATGGTGATTGATCTTGATTAATTTATCTCTTTTCTACTATTTTATTTATTAATTTTTTTTTTCTCCATTTATTCATTAATAAAAGTATATTATTTTTTTTTCATCTGTTTACATTCATTCATTTATTCATTCATATATTCATTTCTTCCTCATTCATTCATTTATTCATAACTATTTAGGTCATTCCTTCATTTTCTCACTCACTCATTGTTTTGTACTTTCGCTCGATCCATCCAGTTGATGGGGCAATACACAGGGCAGCTGGTTCACTATTGGGACAGGAATGTCAGACACTGAATGGCTGCAAGGTCGGTCAGGTCAAGGTCACGGCTGGTGAGTAGGGGGTGGGCGGAGTAAATGCTTATTGGTTGAATTTAAATCTGGTGGAATGAGTCATAGGTATGAGAGTTTATGTGATTGGTTGATTTTATATGGTTAGGGATGGATCGTTGCTGTGATTGGATGAGTTTAAATCTTAGTGGGAGGAGTCATTATTATGATTGGATGGGTTTAACTCACAGTAAAAAAGCAATATAATCAATCAATCAATCAACTAATATATTAAATTATCATAAACAAATTTGTAATTTCAGGTTACAAACTGCCTGCTAAATGTAAGCGTTCATCATTTCTTTATTTCTTTACCTTAATCTGTAATGTCTTGCATAATTTATGCTAATTAATGCATCAGATGTTTTCCATACTGTTGGACCCCAAGATTGTAACGAGGACCATTTGATTGACTGCTATAAGAATTGTCTCGAAGAACTTGTTAAGAATCAACTCAGATCTATTGTATGTTTGTGTGTGTGTGCGTGTGTGTGTATGTGTGGTTGTTTATTTTTGAAATATGTGTGTGTATGTGTGTGTTGTATAATGCATTTTATTCATTTTTTTTTACTCAGGCATTCTGCTGTATATCAACCGGAATATATGGTGAGATAGATTGATGGGATGGATGGATGGAAGGAAGGATGGATAGTTAGATTGGCAGATGAATGGATGAATGAATGAATTTTGGTATCTATTGTTTGAGACTTATTTATTCATTTTTTTTTAATTTATCTTAGTTGATAATTTAAACATTCATGCATCGGACCATTCATTCATTCAATGAAATATTCATCATTCATTCATTCTTTCATTCATTCATCTTTCCATTCGTTCATTTATTTATTCATTCATTCATTCATTCAGGATATCCAAATAAGGATGCCGTACACGTGGCTCTGGATACGACGAGGAAGTTTCTGGAAAGGGATGGCAATATGGAAAAAGTTGGTTGGTTGGCTGATTGAATGAATGAATGATTGATTGATTGATTGATTGATTGATTGATTGATTGATTGATTGATTGATTGATTGATTGATTGATTGACTAATTGACTAATTGACTGATTGATTGATTTGTTTATTTAGTGACTTATTCACACTCCCACTCATTAATCCATTCAATCATTTGTCTATTGTCTGGTTGGCTGGTTGTTTGATTGGTTAGTTGACTTATCGACAACCACAAATAAAGATAATAATAACGATGATGAGGATGGTGGGATGATGATGATGATGGTGGTGGTGATGATGGTAATGATAGGTTGAGAGAATCATATTCTGTCTCTTCCTCGATCTCGATGTTCAGTTGTACGAGAAAGGAATGCAGAAGTACTTCTATGTCTCCCCATTATTCGGTGAGTTTTGATGATGATGATACCATCATCATCATCAAAACGTCATCACCACCATCATCACGATGTGCTGATGATGGTGATGACGACGACGATGATGGTGGTAATGGTGATAATGATGATGTGATGATGATGGTGATGACGATCACGACGATGATGATGGTAATGGTGATAATGATGATGATAATGATGAAGATGACGACGATGATGATGGTGGTAATAGTAATGATGGTGATGATGATGGTGGTAATAGTAATGATGTGATGATGATGATGGTGATGATGATGATGACGAAGATGATGATGATAATGATGGAGACGAAATTATAAATTCCCTCTCCACCTTACCTCCAGCAGATGACAACAACTCGTCATCATCAAAGCCTCCTAAAACTGACAAGCCATCATCATCCTCGTCGTCGTCATCATCATCGCCATCACTACCATCACCGCCATCATCATCGCCATCATCATCATCATCGTCGTCGTCATCGTTATCTTGTAAGAAATCAAATAAAATACAGCGCCTGGAGTCTAGTGTTGATAAGTGTGACGTCATAATAAAAAAAAATAATAATAATATCGTCAATGATGATGATGATGATGGTGGTAAGGAAGCCGGTGATGGTAATGATGCCGGCGATGGTAATGATGCTAAAATGGCGCATGGTGGGAAGCTTAAGAGTGACAGGAGTAATAAAACTGGCTATCCTAATAGTTGTAATGATGTTGATGACGATGGTGCCAAAGTGCAAACGACATCGTCATCATCACCCCTGTTCTCGTCGTCGTCGTCATCGTCGCCGTCAGAAGTTAAAGAAGCTGCCACTACTGCTGCCACTACTGAAGTTAAAGCTGCCACTGCTGCTGCTACTACTACTTCTACTACTACTTCTACTACTACTTCTACTACTACTAAAACTGCTACTACTACTGCTACTACTACTGCTACTACTACTGCTACTAATGAATGCCACAGAGAAATGAACGATAATGATGATGGTGCTGATTGTGCCGGTAACGATGATGTTACACTTACGACTACCACTACTACTTCTGCCGCTACTACTACTTCTGTCGCTACTACCACTAGCACTACTACTCCTGCTACTGCTAAATGTCACGATGATATGATCACAGATGGGGAGGATGATGATGATAATGAAGTCATCGCCACTTACATCAGTATTAACAATGATACTAATACAAATACTGCCGAAGTTAATATGCGTGATGATGATGATGATGATGATGATGATGATGATGATAGTAAAAATGATCTTGATAGTGATGACGACGAATGTTGTAATAACAAACGAGCTTACGTTTGTAATTGATCGATACATATACAAATACACATACAGACACACACATACAAACAAACACACACAAATGAACATGTCTTCATCAAGTTATTAGTTTAGTTAGAGTTTTTATTTCATTCTCTTGTCATGGAGTTATTGAAAATATCACCTATGTATATATGTGTGTATAATTGTGTGTGTGTGTGTGTGTGTGTGTGTGTGTGTGTGCGCGCGCGTTTGTGTGTGTGTGTGTGCGTGTGTTTGCGTACGTCAAAGAATATAACTTGATTTTTTATTAAGCACAGTTGCATTGTTACACTTTCAATAAAATCCTTTCTTGAAAAAAAATGACTTTATTATTTAGCGTTCTGTTATTTAATTTAGTTAATTAGTCGATTAATTGATACCAATTAGTTAAATTATCAGTAATTAATCGTAATTTTCATTCTATAATTAAGATAGAATTTTAGTCTCGAGTAACACGAAGAAGTTAATGTTAATGGTAGTATAACATTACACCTGGATTTACTGAATTTACTATCACAAAATACTTCAGAGTTGAAATCTCCTTTGTAGCGATGAAATACTTTGCAGTGCATCTCACACAGACTGAACTACCTTAAACCCTGCCATGTTATGTTATGTTATATTATGCTATGTTATATATATATATATATGTATATATATTATATTATATATTTTTTTTATTATGTTATTACATATATTATATTTTATTATATTATGTTCTGTTCTGTTCTGTTACAGATTATCAGTCAATCAATCAGTCAATTAGTTTGTAAAGCGCTCATTCAGCGACTAGAGTAGTAATTCACAAAAATTTGTATCCACTAGTAAAATACTTGATAATTAAAACAGTAATATGCTATAATATGTACCAGGGCTTTTACCGGCCGGTATTCATAAATATTCCTTCTCCATTGTCATTGATTTGTCAAGCTGATACGGAACTAAAGACAACGAGAATGAATTCAGAATGATTAGTTTGGTAGCCATAGTTATAGTTGCATAATTTAGATTGTGATAGTAGTTGTTGTTGTATGAGTAGTAGTAGTAGTTGTAGTAGTAGTAATAGCAGTAGTAGTAGTAACAGTAAAGATAATGCAGTGAAGACTTTTTATGCTGATGGTTTGCTAAGTATATGAAAGTGATATAAATATATACATATATGTGTGTTTGTGTGTGTTGTGTGTGTTTGTGTGTGTTGTGTGTGTGTGTGTGTGTGTGTGTGTGTGCAAGAGAGAGAAAAGGAGGGAGTGTGAGCGATCATTTGTCTTCGACGTGGAATTCCATTTACAATTTAAATGCTTTACTCTACATGGTTGTTTTAATATTTGGGGAATAAATTTGTCTTACTGTATGACATATACACACATACTTACATACATACATACATTCACACATATGTAGATATACACAAACATACATACAAACATACATACATACAACTCTATTAAGGGATTCAGTATAAATCGTGCATCAGGTTATGTTAGCAGAAACTTTTGAAAAATTACGATTTTAAGTAAATAAGTTTAATTAATTGATTGATTATCGGTTATTTTATTTGGTTTCTAATTTATAAAATGAAACATTTAATCATTAATTAATTAAAAAATTTCAACGAAATTTAAAAAAAACTATTTATATTAATAAAACGTTCAGCTAAGAACATCGCAAACAATCTCAACTGAATTTTACTTCAACACCAAATCTCACGCCACTGGCACACACACACACACACGCACACACATAAACACAAAATGGATGACTACCATCAGCACGACCACCACAAAAGGTTTCGTCTCGTTTCGAAAACAGGCGAGTGCCTGGTGGTTTTCAAAATCTCAACCAAGGAACGACTCCTGGCCTATCTGAGAGATAGCTTCACCAGCTTCATCGATATGAAGTGGAGATATCATTTTTTAGGATTTTTCGGCACGTGTTTCGCAACTTGGACCATTTTTGGTTTAATTTGGTACGCAACTGTCGATGCCAACGACACTGCGACAAATTCTACGGTGAGTTCGTGCATCGGGGAGGTTTTTAGTATGGGAGAGGCAATTTTATTTTCGTACGAAAGCCAATCTACAGTCGGTTACGGGTCGAGATACCTGCTGCCGGAATGCAACTTCGGTGGTTATATTCTGCAGATTTTGCAGATTTTTGTCGGAGTTCTAACGCCTTGTATCATAAGTGGAATCCTTTTCACGAAATCTCGAAGGCCGAAGCGACGAAGTGAAACGATTGTATTCAGCGAGATGGCCACCGTATACGATGATAACTACCAGGAGAGGATTGAAATTCGCGAGCTTAGTACGGACTCAAAAATTAAAAGAAAGATAATCACGAAGAAGAAAAAGAGGAGGTTGTTTCAATTTCGCATAGGGAACATAAGACAATCGAACATCATTTCAACGTCGGTCCGAGTGTTCGTCGTTAAGGAGCGCAAAACAAACGAAGGAGAAGTCATTCCATTCTGCCTGCACCAACTACCCATCTCGACTAGGTACGAAGGTAGGAAAGAAGATGAAGAGGACAACCCGAACCTCATCTTTCTCCCGTGGCCAGTCATGGTCACCCACATTATCGACATGGACAGCCCTCTGAAAGACATCCAGGACACTACATTGAAGTTCGAAATTATCGTTTTATTCGAAGGGATCGTCGAGTCTACAGGGAAACCCTCCCAATTTCGCACCTCCTACACCCCTGACGAAATCATATGGCATCATAAATTTGCCCCGATTGTGATGGAGTTCAAAAAAGCCGAGGGAGAAATAATTAAGGATATAATTGACATTGATTACTTCACGTTTAATATAACCAGTCCGGTTAATCGGGCCGCCAGTAGGGAGCACGTCATCACAAAAACTGAGCGTGCCAAAATTTAGCAGTTATCAATTTTAACGCATACGAAGATGTATCTGATTGCACCAACTGTACGAATGTACAATTTTTTATATGGATGTAAAACTTACACATATAATATAAATATTTTTTGTTGATTAATTTATTATGTTATCATTGCTATCATTCTTATATATTTCTTTCTATTTTGGGGAAACGTCTTTTTTTTAAATTCGAAAAAATCAACAATAACAACAACAATAATAATAATATAAGTCACGTGATGTTTATGTTTTCATGACTACGTTTGTTTTGGTTTGTATATATGCATGTATATATATATATATATATATATATTTATATAAATACATATATATATAAATACATATATATATATATACACACAAAAAGATATATATATATATAAATAGAAGATATATAGAATATATATGAATATACTTATTCTATAGTATAAACATACATGCATGCATGCATGTATATATGTATGCATGTATATGTGTGTACTTTGTTTACAAACAAACTAACTAACTAGCTGAATTGGAGTTGCGATTAATTAAGTTAAATTGAAATAAAATAATAATAACAATAATAATAACATAAATAATAATAACATATACAATTGAACTAATAAATTTCATTAATTCTTATTTTAACAAATTAATTGATATTGTTTATTTAATTGTATTTCATTATTTAATAGTTAATTTAAACAGTTAAATTATTAAAAAAATTTATATATTTTATTTTTTCGAAGAATTATAACTTGAAAAATTAGATTTTTTTTTAGTTTGTTTGAGAGAGAATGGAAAGAGCATTTTTTTCAAATCATCAACAATTGATTTAATTTAATTTTAATAGTTAATAACTAAATAACATTCAATAATATTATTTATTATTATTATTATCTTTTAATGTTTTTATTATTAATTATAATTGGCTAATTAAAAAACATGGGGCATTTTAAGAGAGGCCGAACAGTAAGTGTATTAGTTTTAGATTAAATTTAATTAAGTATGTGATTAATCAGTATTAATTCGCTTTAATTTGTTTGTGTATGTGTGTTTTTGTGTGTGCCAAGAAAGAGAGAGAGAGATAGAAGGAGAGAGAGAGAGAGAAAGAGAAGGAGAGAGGGAGTGGAGAGAAAGAGAGAATGTATGTCATGAGCTATGTCTCTATGATTCATTTCATAAAGTCTGTGATTGTGTTTTGTTGATTTATCTGTTTATAAGAAACTATTTTAAATCAATTATTTATTTAATAATAGCAATAATTAATGAATAGATTAATAAATAAAGTTAATTGTTTATATATTCGTAAATTTAAAAAAAATTTTAGCTGCTAGAAAGAGAGCTAGGATTGATGAAGTAC